AGCCACCTAGGGGTCAAACGGTGGTGGTGCCGCCATCTACTTTTCGGCTGGGGTATTACCAGTGGGGCAGAGGAGGAAACTCTGGAGGGGATAGAATTCGGAGACAAAGAGGCAACAGAGCCAATTGTCAAGGTTGCCAAAATGGCGAAGTCATAGTCTGGGAGAGCGGTGGTGACTCCAACCTGGATCCGCGCGCCACAGTGATTCTTTCCGTTTTTGGCAGTCGAAGAGTGCAGTTGGGTTTAAGTAAGTTCCCACGAGAAAAATGTTAAGTCGAATCGGTAGCTAAACGTGATAGTAAATTTCAGTGTGTGCAACTGTTTAAATAGCCCAGAAGCACTAAACGGAAAATCTTGCTAGGTATTCCATCTGGAAACCAGAATCTGCGCTGAATCCAAAAACTAGGGTAAGATCATAAACAGTCAGAGACTTACATGTAGCAGCCATCTAGAATTTTTTTTATAATTACTCAGGTTTGGCGCTTAATGCTGAATAAATATACACCCATGATCTGGAGCGAGCCGCTGAAAGAGAAACGACGACCCCCATCTCCCCAAGGGTAACCTTGATGATTTTAATTATTGTTATTAAACGCTAAAAGGAAGGCATATTTGTCAAATTTCTATCTCAGGGGCATAAGCAAATCAAGTGTATTTTGCGAATCGAACCGCCAAGACTCCAGAAAGTGGTGCAACTCCAATCAACCAGAGTTTGAATTCGCAGAAATATCATTCAATCCCGCTTCGTCTCTCTCCCCTTAGTTACCAAGCTCCGAGTGTGGTGGGCTTGAGTGAAATTCTGAGAGAGTAGTTTTCCTTGGCCAGCGCGTAACATCGGACGCATGATCGACGAGTGGCCGTAAAAGAACCGGGAAAAGGAGTGGAAACGCCGGGAAAAATCTAAGAAAAGCAGTGAAAATGTCCGGCTGGATGCGTGTCGTCGGATTAATAAATTAAGTTTTTTTTGTACTAGTGTTAGTGGTGTTAGTGTACGAAAACCCCATCAAGAGTGGAAAAAAGGCCCGAAGAAAAGGCGGAGAATCGGGAAATGTAAGTTAAAGTCAAAAGTCAATAGATAAAACCCGAAAGGCCCAAAAGAAGTGAAAAAAAAGGAAAGAGAGATAAGAGAAGAGTGTGCCGTGAAAAAAGCAGTTGCAGAGATGTGCTTGATCGGGTACAGTGGGTAGAATAGTGTATATTTTTTTGGTTTTTTTTATGTTCACAGCAATCGGAAAACCTCACGGAAGCGCTTTCGTCGATGGAACCCCCGAGTTCTGGTGAGTGAAGTTTCACGAGTAAAGAAATACATTCTATAAACCAAAGCCCAAAAGATCGATATTTGCCCCACTGTCCCAAGTCCCTTTAAGCGAATGCGAAAGTAAAAAGAATTAGAATTTCTCGGCCATCTCTATAACGGATAAACGGGGAATGGCATACGTGCAATTTCAAGGGCAAGCTCTCTCTCCCTTACCGGAACAGCGGAATTGAAATTCAAGGGCAATTTAAAATGTGGGTCAATGTCTTTGCGGCGAATTCGCAGACTCTTGTTTTCTTTGATTTTTAATGCATTATTTTGGCTGCTGAACGATATCCCATTTCCTTTGAATTCTCCGAGGTTTCTTTTTGGTTATTTTATTTTTTAGTTAATCGAGCTATTTAAATTTTATTCATGTTCGAGTCTATTTTATTTTTCGGTAGAAATATTCTAATCTAGAAAAGACATTTTTTATTTATTCTTTTATAATTGCCAATTAGTCCTATTTATAATCCCGCTCGCTAGCGAAGATATTTGCATGCATTTATATTAATATCTGTTTCATTATGCCTGTTAGTATTAAGTTGTTTTATTAGGATTTAAAATATATTTTATAATGTATTAGAAAAACCCTTTGTTTGCCTAAGACTAGGATGATTCCCCTGTAAAAACCTTTCAGCGATCCCAAAAGGGGCCATTCGATAAATAAGTTGAGATCAGGTGCAGAATGGCCAAGGCAGGGAGGGCATCCGCAATTCCTCTAAGAACATCTGAGGACTACTAGGGATATTCGAGGAGCTTCTACCTATTGTTGTCTGTCTGTTTGTCTGTATACGATTGTTCTCCCGCTATCCAATTCTTGTCGTAGCACGCAGTTGATATATTTCTTTGAAAATGAATAGAGGCTGAAGAATTAAGGACAAGATCACCACCCCACCAACCGACAAGGAGCAAGCTGGACCTTAGCGCGTGCGTCCTGAACTCTTCCATCATCATCTAAGCCGAGAAATTCGTTACAGGAGCGAGTGTCTCTAGAGCTGGGTAAGTGTAAACTTCTGCACGTTGTTATCGACGTTTTCGTTTACAGTGCACTGCTTACCTAACATTTATGTTAACAACTGACATTTTGTATACCCTAGCAAATGGTAAATTTATGTTTTTTGAAATATTACCTTCTACTCTTGGGAATATTATGTATTATAAGTTATATTCCTTTCCTTTCTTGTTTTAATGTTACATTTACGAACAGAAAACTGAATTCTAAAATGTTTACAACATCTAACATAACCCAGAGGTCCGAGGATCGAAACCTTGCTCTGCTATGTGATGGTAAATTCGCGAGAGCGTTTTTTTATGTCAATTAGTTGTTTTTTAGTACTAATAATATTTTTTAATGCTAGCTAAATTCAGCAAAATAATAACATTTTTTAAACAATTTCTATGATAAAAGGCCGGAAAAATTCATGATTTTATAACGTTTAAAATATGTGCTCAATTACATAAAATAACAAAAATCTTAAATTTATTAAAGCAAAGATTAGAAATTAAATCTTACACATTGGATTACCCAACGACCCTTTGGGATGCCCACATTGGAATACATTTAAAATCATCATGCAATGCCTAATATTGAAAAATATTGAAAAATATTATAACATTCCTCGAACTCCTCGAGCTTAAGCAAGAAAATAAACGTTGATATTTGCATACTGCAGGTCACCAAACAAAAACAGAACAAGAGAGAACGCTATAGTCGGGTGCCCCGACTATCAGATACCCGTTACTCAGCTAAAGGGAATGCGAAGGAGATGGAGATAAAAAGTTTGATCCGCCGTAACTTTTTAACGAATGGTCCGATTTAAAAAATTTCTTCTACATTTGATAAACACAACAAAACTGCATTTCTACTTTTCCAAAATATTGAAATTTTTAAAATCGTTTATAAGCGATTGTGGGCGTTAGAGGGGGCGTGGCACCCTTTTGAAACAAACTTGCGCTGCGTAGGAACTCCTAGAATCTGCATGCAAAATGTCAATCTTCTAGCTTTTATAGTTTCCGAGATCTCAGCGTTCATACGGACAGACAGACAGACAGACAGACGGACAGACAGACGGACAGACGGACAGACGGACATGGCTAGATCGACTCGGCTAGTGATCCTGATCAAGAATATATATAGTTTATAGGGTCGGAAACGCTTTCTTCTACCTGTTACATACTTTTGCACGAATCTAATATACCCTTTTACTCTACGAGTAACGGGTATAAAAATGTTTCCTAAAAAACACATTTCCATGTCTCAAAAACTTCCAATGAGATATAATGGCTATGTGAACTTTTGGATTATGGTATTTTAGCAGGTGCTAAATAGTATTCTATTCTTTATTTTTTCAATTACTTTTATTTATTCTTAGTCATCTCTAATGGATCATACAGCTGACAACTGTCTGGTAACTGTTCTCGTACCGAGGCAATTCACTGGGCTTCAGCAACCTTCGGCAACAGTTGCATTTAGAAGACTAGGCTTTCAGTGGTTTGATGCGGCCCAAAAAGCAAATATCGTTAGAAACATTAGCTAGCTAGTCGGTGGCAAACTGGTTTCCATCGAACAGCTGTAAGCACAAGGGGGCAAATAAAAGATGAAACAGAGCTTGGGAGAAGACGTTGACTTTAAAAGTCAAACGTTAACTTGAAAAATGTTTATTTCTTTTCGAATGTTTATTTATGAAATTTAAGTGTTTTGGCTAATGGAACTTACGCGGAATTGCGGATGAACGATAGCGAACGAAAAGATAGCTGATATCCTTATCTATATGTCTTTCACTTCATATAATTGGTTACTCAGCACAGTGATCACAGGAAAATTGACGTCAATTTCCACTTTCGCTGCGCCCACTTTTCATTTCATTTCACCGCACTCACGTGTGCCTCGCCTTGCGTAATTATTCAAATTCAAATTTTTAGCAATGGATCAAGATTCGCGCATCTCGTAGATATATTTTCGTGTGCACAGGGGGGCTCCAGGTTTACGTTTCGAAATTTTCTTTGCTGCCGTTTATTTTTCACGTTGCGTTGGCAGCAGTTGTTTACCGTACGCCGCTCGCGCGCTCACTGAAAAAGCCACCCAAGCTCCCCGCGCACCCAAAGATATACAGAGAGCCAGATATTCCGACGGATGGAGCGTCGTCGAGATCTCGAGACCATTTCGTTTTGGCCCGATCTCGGAGTTTCCACGCTCTCCGACTCGCCGGCCCTATGAATGAATGCATATTTTTGGTACATAGAAAGAAATATTGCCAAAATTGGTCATCAAATGTGTAGATTTTAAAATAAAATTCTCAGAAATATCCGTGGCATATCGACACACAAATCATAATTTAAAAATTTAATTATTGCTCATTCCCGGTTTCTATATTATTTGCCTAATCCTCTACAAAATCAGAGAAAAATATTTTTAATTTGTAAATGAAATGAATTTCTACCAGTTGGCGCCAGTTTTATTAAGTAAAGACCTTTATGTTTTTACCTATACCAGCATTGATTTAAGTCTTATTCGCTTCACGGCTTTATTGCGATTGCTTTAAGACGTTTTCCAAAAATCCATGTAATTACTGTTATTGGTAGCAATCATTCTATCATAGAAATTCTATGTATAAAAATCCGTATCTAGAAACCGAGGTAATACCGCTCAGGGCTTTTATATAAATAGAAGTAAATAACTTAATCTGCAGAAATCTCCGAACTTCCAATATAATTCAAAAATAACTCTACAAATTTGTAAAATGTCTTCGTTGAAATCGACGGAGAAGCCAACCACAAGCTCTGCTATGCAGAAGTCAATTCAAAAGGATCATGGATGTCCCTTGAGGGATACCGAGAGTTTGGAAGCAATCGACAATCGCCTTAAGAACCTTCTGACTCGTTTGACAACTATGGAGAATTCGCTCGCCGAGTTGAGCGTTCCCCTTCAGGCGTACTTCGACGAAGATCATGGAGACACCGATCAGGATTTAAAGGACTTACAGGATGCTTTGAATGACCAGGATACTGAACTTTCAGACTTAGCCGATGACGAAGAAACTGGAGAGAAGGATGATGTCTGTAATGTTGAAGAATTAAATGAAGAAAATTCAGAGAATCCATAAGCGATAGCTTTTCAGGATCTAAATGTTTTTAATGTTATAATAGTTAAGGCCAGAAAATTGTTATGAATGTTGTAAAAATAAAATCTGCAATCCAATTTAAGCTCTATCATTTGTGCAGCAAGGCTTGGATTATCTTAATTTCAAAATTTTAAAAACTCATTTGAATTTTTCAACGAATTTTAGTAGCTGCGAATTCTACATGTATTTTACACACTCTTTCTACATTGGCTCAATTGCGACATCTACCGGTGGAGTATTTTACTCTTAACCCTTTCGACCCCAACGTTGCTTCCAATAAAATGTAATTTCTTGTAAAATTGGTGTAAAATCTAACACATAACAAGAGAGAACGCTATAATCGGGTGCCCCGACTATTAGATACCCGTTAGGTAAAGAAAGTGCGATGGAGATAAAAACTTTGATCCGCCGTAACTTTTTAACAAATGGTCCGATTTAAAAAATTTCTTCTACATTTCGATAGGTATTGATAAACACCATAAAACTGCATTTTTACCTTTCCGAAATATTGAAATTTTTAAAATCGTATATAAGCGATTGTGGGCGTTAGAGGGGGCGTGGCACCCTTTTGAAACAAACTTGAGCTGCGTAGGAACTCCTAGAATCTGCATGCAAAATGTCAATCTTCTAGCTTTTATAGTTTCCGAGATCTCAGCGTTCATACATACAGACAGACGGACAGACGGACAGACAGACGGACAGACGGACAGACAGACGGACAGACGGACATGGCTAGATCGACTCGGCTAGTGATCCTGATCAAGAATATATATAGTTTATAGGGTCGGAAACGCTTCCTTCAACCTGTTACATACTTTTGCACGAATCTAGTATACCCTTTTACTCTACGAGTAACGGGTATAAAATTATTAAAAAGATCATATTTTGAAATAACATGTTAAAATATTGAAATTTAACACCAAATATATATTATATTATTATAAATAATCTTTTATAAATTGTTGGCAGCACCGTATGAAACGGATTAAAAAGTTTTAATGCAAACTCTGATTAAACCCCCCCCCCCCAACTTCATTTAAAACGCCAATCCGATTTCTTTGTTACTTTTTTGTATTTTTTCTTTTTCCATTTGTTTTAATACAATATATAAAAACCGATAAAAAATCAAAAATAAATATAAATATGTAGGTTTACTCAGTTTAGTTTGAAATGCGCTTGATGGCTGGTGGCTGGCAAAGTCAGGGCTGTCTACGAAAGATACAAAATTACAAAAGCCGTGGCTCGGACGCTTTTCTATGGCCATATTAACGTAAATTAGACTTTAGCTTTTAGAGTTATCAGTTAGACTACAGTTACAAATTAGTTATTGCTGTTCATGTTGGGGCTAATTGAATTCGTGTGCTGTGGCAATTTGCTTGTTACATATGCGCGTATGCATAAATATAATACAAATTAAATATGTAGGTGTAGGTGTGTTTCCGCTTAGGGCTCTAGGGGCTAAAGTGTTTATAGTTAATTTTTGCTAAACGATCACATTGAACAGGCACTCCGCTCGCACTCACACTCGATAAAAACACTCACTCCTCGACACTCGCGCATTCACTCGTTCATTCTTTCGCTCTCTGGCTTACAAATTACAATTTCGCACTTAGACTTAGAGTGTGGGGGAACAGGGGCATTTGGGGGCTTACTAAACTAAAATGGGCTCGTTACGTATTCTCTCTCCTCCTCAAATTTCTTCTTTCCTAAATCAGGTATTTTCCGATTCTTACAATAGCCGAGAGTTTACAAACATGAATTTACAGATATAATGAACTCGGTTTCAGCTCATGACTCACAAGCCTGCTGCAAAGGCAATTAAATCCAATTCAAATTCGCAAAGTCCTGACGAGAGTAACATTCGGAAAAGGACCGTATATTCTCGATTGCGTTTTGATTGCTTCTATCAAAAGTTTTTATAAAATTTTGGACTCGCATTTCGTATATAAGGGTTGCATGTAGTTCTGCTAATAACATTTTGCTTCACGGATGAATGACTGAGAGGTGTAGGGGATGCAGCCGTGCTCCACCTTGGCTGCCTTTCGCACATTGAGTAATCACAGCAAATCGGCGCAGACGCCGCCGAACCACGCCATATAAAGCGGCAGCAGATAGACAACCAGAGCGCGACGCAGCGTCATCTTCTCTGGGGCATCGGACGACCGGTTGTCGTTGGCCCCCGAGCCGCCGTGGCCGCCATCCGCGTCCTCATCCTCCTCCTCCTCCTGCCGATGATCCTCATCCAGATCGTTGTGATCCTGGTCGAAGTGGGTGGTGTGAATGAGTGGGTTCTTGTCGTCCCCTCCGCTCGTCGGTCGGGATGTGTGCGTGGGCAGGTGGCCACCGGTGTCCTCGTCATCGTCGTTGTCCGCATCCACCGAAGGACGTTCCACTTCCGGTTTGTTGCTCGGCTCAAAGGGTCCCAGGCCGGAGCCCTCGTCGTCGTCCTCGTCATCTTCGGAGCCGGATCCCGAGCCAGCTCCACTGCCAGCATACGGCAGTTCTTCTGAAAAGGCAAATGGCTTAGTAATATGCAAATTAATATATTATAAGTACTGGATCCTTACCTTGCTCGATCCACTCCACATCCTGACCAGTGTAGGCATTTCGCAGATGAGCGATGGCGTTCTTCAGGTGGCTAAGTTGCGAGGACATCTGAGCGGTTTGCTTTGTGCTGGCCGGGTTGCCACTAAACTCTGGATTCGAGCCGTGCTCTGTGGTAATCGAGTGCATATACCTGAAACGTCAATTACGTTAGATAAATTTCTATATGAATTATAAACGGTTTTCTTCGCACCTGTCGATGGTGTGACCATTCCAGCACATGCCGTCCACATCGGAACTGGAGGCAATGTCCTCGTTGCTGCACACAGAGTGCGGCAGATTGGACCAGAACTTCTTGTAATCCTTCACCCGCTGGCGAATGTCCCTGACAATCCTGTCCAGAATCGGTTCGCGTCCGCCTCCACTCTCGTTTTCATCGTCATCGTTGTCGTCCCGATTGTTTTGCTGTTTGCGTCGCTGCTGCTGTTGCTTGCGTCGTTGCTGCTGCCGCCTGTTGTTGCCGCCTCCTCCTCCTCCACCACTTCCTCCTCCATTCGCACCCTTTCCAGCTCCCTGCTCCTGGGACTGCTGTCCGGAGGACTCCTGGGAACCTGGCTCAGCCGCCCTGCGCTCTCTCAGCACTATCGCCTCGTCCAGAGTGTCGTCGATGTCCAGCGTATCCGCCTCCACGGGTCTCTTGGCATTGAGGACTTGGACTCCCTGCAGTTTGGGGCTGATGGAACGCTTCATTTTCTTCAACTTGGGCCTGCCACATCCTTGGAACACGCGATTGGTAATGTCCTGGCCAGAATCCTGAAGAGAAAAATAATAATATTAAATATTGTTGTAAGAATAAAATAATAAAAAAGATGTTAACCCAAAATTGTATTTCTTCCAAAAACAAACTAGTCCAACTTCCATTGTAAATTAAATAAATTATATTCTTTATGATTTTATTAACCTTACAGAAAGTGCCAAGACATAAACAACTGACATTTGATACTTTTCATTATTTTAAAATTAGAAAGCTTCGAATCTAAATGACTTTTTGAAACCAGTTGCGCAAGGGAAATCACATCGTTTCCCATACTCGACAGCAATTCCATTCACACCCCACTGAGTATAGCCGCTTAATGGCTATTTATAGTTAGTTTTTATTGACCCATTCCATAGATAAGAATTGATTTCAGCCGGCTACTCATTATGAGGCACTCGAGCGATCAGAGACCTCTTCGCGAAGAGTCAACTCTCTACAGAAGCTTGCGCTTCGTCAGTCTTATCAGCACTCCTATATCTCCTGTGTTATTTCTTTCAATGGCCTCTTCGCGGCAGTTTACAGTTCATATAATTACGGAGGTTGGGTCAGGTTGGGGTACGGAGTTCCAGAGCTCCAGAGCTTCAGCGTTCTCTCCGGTTCATCATAACTGTCGACCCGACTGGGCGATGGTAATCATCAAAAGCGGTTCGTACCCAGGTTGGGTAAACGCCTGAGACCCGACCAAGAAACTAATCAGAATTAAAATTGAATACTATTTCGCATTTTGCATTTTTGGCCTTTTATGGGGCCGTCGACCAACAACAAACATGGGCAAATGTAAACACATTAAAAGCCAAATGCCGAAACACAAGCAAAAACAACCAAAGCAATAGATACAAACAAAGGCATGGAGTAAGCAGAATCAGAGGTTGAAAAAAGAAATGTATAAATTTTAAATGGAAATATAAATTAAATTCATATGCGGGCCAAATGTTGTGCAAATAAATCGTAAAAATGGCAAACAAAACAACGAACGCGGTGCTGAAGATAGTTCAAAACAGACAGCGGGTCTAGAGATTAAAATATTGCAGTAATCAAAATTCAATAAGTTATGGCCATCGAAGTGTAAATTATTCTTTTGTTTTCTGTGTAAATGTCGGGCATAATATTTGTGTTATCTCTTAAATTTTTGCTTGGCAAGTATCAGATTTAATGGGTGTAACACTTTGGCATTTATTTGGGTATTTAATTGGAAATGGATGAGTAATTTTGTCGGTGCTTTTCAATTTGTTTACTCCTCCGCCAAACTGTAAGAATAGATTCCTCGTAGGCTCCATAAATTTCTTCTAACGTTAAATCTCACATATCAATCGCCACGATCTCCTACGGTGTTCCCCTAGAATTACTTTGGGACTCGTTTGAAATGTATGCGAATTAACTAACCACGCGTAAACCACTCTGACGCACTGACAGTTTTATGCGAGCATAACTTAGAGTCCCACTGCGAACGGGCCAAAGATAAAAATTAACCAGCAGCTGCTTGGCCCAAACGAGTTACAAATTGCGATTGGTTTATGCAAATGCTAATGATAATGACCCCAGCATATCCAATTATCCCGCCGTAGATCTCACCTGGAAGTTCATGATGGCCTCGGAGATCTTGATGTTGAGTGGCTCCACCACCATCACAATGTTGAAGGATCCCAGCAGACGCTCGGCCAACTTGTCCATGGCGATCGCGAAGTTC